AAGAGAGAATTCTTGGCGAAAGTTCAGTGAGCGAAAACCCTAGATTGAAGAGAAGGACGGGTTTGGATACAGGTGAGGTCTAATCTTCAAATGTGGATCCCAACTCGTTTACGTTCTATTGGCCGTCGGATCGAACAAGCTCACGGTTGCTTCAGTCTTGATGGACCCATCAAAATATCTCTGCTATGTTTATTCGTTTTAAATGTTTTTTTTTTAATTTTTTTTATTAATGAATTGATGAGATTTTTGTTTCAAGAAACTCCCACAGGTCTTGACCCTTTGTTCGAGTCATAGTCATAGTAAAGAAAACTTTGTGGATGAGATTTGTGAAGCCTCAATCATGGGAGAAGCAATCTGCAATAGGATTGTGCTCCTAAAAGGTCATCGAGGACGATGACTGATTTAAGTGGTGGTATTTCCTCTTGCATGGGTGCCCGAGGAACTGTGTTAGGGGAATATCGGGTCATAGTCCTTCTTTGACCTCTCCTAGGCGCTCGCACCAGTGGCATGGCTCTACAAGTGTTAGGAGGCAATGCCTAGCCTCGTCCTGTGGTGGATGTTGTTCTGCCTCAAGTGCCGGAAATGCGATGTCGTCATCGACCCTTCTTCTACCCCTTCTAGGTCCAGGCCTGATGTAAGTTCCTCTTCTCTTAGGAGCGATAATATAAACAAGAAGTTTATGTTACCTAATATCCTAGCACGTCGTTCAACCAAGAAAAATAAATAATAACCATAATAATCATAAGTCTCTTAAGTTACATCCTTGTAGACTTATTCTACAATATGTATTCAGACAACATACCTAGTCGTAGTGAGGCGTGTCAAAGAGCTAAGACACAGAGCTATACAATACTCTAGCTACCAACAAAAATGTCTATAGGACCTAAAACCGGACTACTCTAATACCAATTTGTTACGGCTCGATTTTCGAGACTTTGAGAAATTAGTCCGCGACTTAAAGACAAAAACTAAAACCAATAAAAAACAAAAAATTGAAAATGCAGGGAAAATACAATAAAATTTTGCGCGATTTTACAGCACCATGGGCGAAAACCAAAATCCAAATCAATATAATACAAAAGCATGTATTGTATTAGTTATTTACAAATAGGGTACGGGTGCGACATACAAAAGAATACATTGTCAACCCCAAACAGAATATAGACTAACTGATATCCCTATGTGATAACAGAGCTCTTGAGCACCTCCCTACCTCAACCAGTACCTGAAAAAGAAAAGGAAATAGGGGTGAGTATAAAAATACTCAGTAGGTAACCTACATGTAGGCTCTCATCGCATCTTTAACATAATAAGTTTCCATAGGCTTGTCATAGGGCTCTAAGAGGTTCAAGCCTAGTTCAGTTATCCCCCGACTATTACCTCACTCCACAATGGTGCCCATGACAAGCTAATCAATTTGTATAGTCCCTCGTCTCCTATTAGAGTGGATTTTCTCTACACACAATAGTAGCTCCTCAATATACTACTTATACACTCTCTCGTCCACTCTCAAGGTGAGCTTGTTCTACACACAATAGTATATCCTCAATCAGCTACTTGTATTGTCTCTCGTCCCCTCTCGAGGCGGGTTATTATACACACAATAGAGATTTCTCATGTTGACTACATACGTAGTCTCTCGTCCCCTCTCAAGGTAGGTTATGATACACACAGTAGCAATTCTTCGTGTTACTCACGTATTAGTCCCTTGTCTCCTCTCAAAATAGGTTATCATGCATACAACGATAATCCCTTATATAGTCTACTTGTGTAGTTCCTCGTCTCCTATCAATGCAGGTTATATCCTACACACAGTGTGTAACGGCTCAGATCCACAGCTAGCAGATATTGTCTTCTTTGAGCTTTCCTTTTCGAGCTTTCCCTCAAGGCTTTAAAACGCGTCTGCTAGGGGAAGGTTTCATACCCTTATAAAGGTGTTTTGTTCTCCTCCCCAACCAATGTGGGACATCACAATCCACCCTCCTTCGAGGCCCAACGTCCTTGCTGGTACTCGTTCCTTTCTCCAATCGATGTGGGACCCCCTCCAAATCCACCCCCCTTTTGGGCCCAGCGTCCTTATTAGCACACCGCCTCGTGTCTACCCCCCTTCAGAGAACAGCAAGAAGACTGACACATCGTCCGGTGTCTGGCTCTGATACCATTTGCAACGACTCAGATCCACCGCTAGCAGATATTGTCCTTTTTGAGTTTTTCCTTTCGAACTTTCCCTCAAGGCTTTAAAATGCGTCTGCTAGGAGAAGGTTTCAGACCCTTATAAAGGGCGAGCGGCGGAGGGCGGCGCAACAGGCGCCGGACACGCTTCGACCGTAGGTTGGAGCAACACAGCTCCAGTGAAACGACGACACATGTCGCTTGCAAAGCCCAAGCCGAACCGCAAATCCAAGCCGAGCCGAATCGGATCGGCCGACCCGAGACTACGCAGAAGGTGGCACGCGTGCGGCCTGCGACTAGCGCACTTCCTCGCGCATGGTCAACGCACTGTTGGCGCGTGAGCGCGCGTGAAACGGTCATTTTGGCCCATTTTCCCTCTGTTTGCCAAATTGTTGTCCCGATTCCAGTTCTAATATTGTTTTTATGTGAATAGGGACCTAATAGAAGGAAATCAGTATTTTTGGACACCTCACGGGCATAGAAATGCTAGCGAAAAGGCACACGTCAACCAGGTAAGTCACCACTCGGTATTTAGGAAGAAATACTTATAGGATTCGCTTGGATTGTATGCATGCTAGTACCTTTGCCTTAGATTAGCTCTCCATGAATGAAATTAGTTAGATTGATTCTTATGAGTGTATTGGGTGAATTATCTGAGTGTTGCTTGTATGCTTTAAGCTTTTGTCATACGTATGCATGCGTTTAATTTATGTTGAAATTGTGTATTCCGCGTTTCGGGTGCTTGATGGATGAGTTTGTCCCATTGAGCGCGAACTTCGTGTTCTGGGTGCTTGATGGAGGCCATTGCCTCGTTGAGCCAGCGTGCCTAGTTTGCATGAATTATATATTATGATGTTAGAAGACGGTTGCATGCACACTCTGTTATTTGCTAGGGCCCATTTCTATGATAAGCCTAGGGAATTGCTGTTAGGAGCGATAAGTCGCTCTAGCCAGACTTAACCTTCCCCTAGGAACTTAGTGGATTACCACGACAACAAGGTACCTCAGGAGTGTTATTAGATTGCTAGTGTGGGAACGGTATCTATAGCTTCGTGGGAGGACTAAGGGTTCCTGAACAGACCTTACTACTCTTAACCATTTCGCATGGGAAATGTGTCTCCACGTCGTATAGCCCATTTGCTATCTGGGGCTTAGGGGTATTTAACACACCCCTAGGCTAGATACCATGTAGTCCCAAATAGCCATTTAGAGGTAGCACCACATAGAGAGGCACGGACCATATCAGCTTGGCGTAAGGAATCTTTAGGTGTCTAACGAAAGGACGACGAACCGGCGAAACCCAAGGGGCAAGCCCCAATGGACTAAGATTAGAACCAGATGTCCTAGAACCAAATTAGGTGACCGTGGGAACCTGTTAAGTTAGGTTGCGAAGAGAGCCTACAAGTAGGGGGCTTACTGATTATAATTTTTTTATACTCATCCTTGCTATGTTTTCCTTTTTCAGGAGCGCGAGGTGTCAGTCAAGGGCGGGCGTGATGGGGACGGAGATTGTCATAGAGGAATGGGTTGTCCCGGGGCGTCAGTCTAGTCTTTATTTTGTATTTGTATTCTTTCAAAATTTATTTCCAAACTGTTAAGGTTTCTGTTTGTTTGTCGTTCAAAAACTTTATTGGAATTAAAGAATTTTCTCTTTTTCATATTTAAATCACTTTGTGCATTCGTGTGTGTCATTAGTCACGGTCCGTAGTAAAATATTGGGTTGTGACAAATTTGGTATCAGAGTAGTCAGGTTATAGGTCCTGTAGACATTTAGGATAGAGAGTCGTATCCTCTGTGACCTCGCTCGTCAAACACATGCCGCTCACGACCAGACGTTCTCACATGATGGAAACATAGAGACAAAAGTCAAGCGTGTTTATAGAGTATACCATGACCTACTATGGCATTATAATCGCACATTACCTAAGAGATGTGTTACGAATGAATTGTAACCATAGTTCTTTTTCTGTTGTGGTAGATAATGGCACCCAAGAGACACGAACCATATGTTGGTCCTGGACCCAGAAGGGGAAGAAGAGAGGAAGTTTAGGACACCTCAGTTCCAACACCTGAAGTGGCACCTGATTGAACAGGGTAAACTGGCCAATTCTTTTTTCACTCGGTAAAGCAGCAAAGAACAAAAAAGAATAAGATTTCAGTATTTAAATCATAGTCTAATTTCTTGAATCTATGAATCATCCATTTCTTCTTTTTTTTTCGGAAGGAAAGACTCAAGATTAATGAGAGTTTACGAACTTCACTCCTGAACCTTCTTGAACTATAAAGTGGCTTCGCTCCTCTTTATTCTTTCACTTGGTAAATAGGCTGGATGATCAGTTCCTTCATCTTTTCCTATCCTTTACGGTCTCTTTTCTGTTCTTTCCTTCACCTATTTATTCTTTCACTGATCTTTCTTCTTCAAAATCAAGTCAGGACTTAACTCAAGATTCATTCTCCTTCACTCAATCACTTGTCCCTTCTTTCACTCTTTCACTCGGTAAATAGGTGTTTGCATCTTCTGTTCTTTACTTTACGGTCTCACACACAACCTGAATTTCAAGAGGAGGTTGAGGATATGCCCCAAACTAGCGAAGGGACCATACCACAGCCATCAAGAACAAAAAGATGTCGAAGGAAGGCCAAGGCTCGAAGGCTGCTCGATACACCCTACTGCTCCCTTCTCCGAGGAGGTCCCATCGGTTCCAACCACTTGTACAGCAGTCCCACTAAACCAGTCATTAGCCATGGCCACAGTAGAGATGTTTTAGACGTTCATGATGATCTCGATGGAAAATCAGGCTCTGACGAACCAAATGATACAAACTATGATGACTAATCAGTCAGTAGGGCAAGGAGTTAAAGATTCAGGGACTATGACTGTGGAGTCCCGCTACTTAAGAGATTTTCAGAGGCATAAACCGCCTTCCTTTGACGGAGGCAAGGTGGATCCCATTGCTGCTGAGAATTGGCTAGAGGCCATAGAAACAACCTTCCATTTTATGAACTGCCCGCTAAAGTATCAAGTCCATTGTGAGACGTATATGCTGAAAGGAGAGGCGCACTTCTAGTGGAAGGGTGTTTAAAAGACCATTATACCACAAGAAGAGTTTATTACCTGGTGCTAGTTTAAAGATGCTTATCTCCACAAATATTACCCAATCACTGCCAGAGTGAAAATGCAGACATCATTCCTCGAACTGAAACAGGGAGATAGGTCAGCGGAGGAATATGACTTAGAGTTCAAAAGGCTGGCAAGGTTTTCTCCAGCCTATGTTAGTTCTGATGAGTTGGAGGCCGAACGATTTATTGCTGGCCTGAGGGAGGAACGGAAGGAGAATGTGGCATCCCAATCATCCTTCGTCTATGCGAAAGCCTTTTAAGGGAGGTGGTGTAACAATATCAGGACGTGTCATCGAAGCTACACTGATAGTGTTAAGAATGCAAGACTTCGATGTCATCTTAGGTATGGATTGGCTAGGTGAGAATCGCGTTTTGATAGATTGCCAGACATGAATAGTGACTCTTAGGCTTCCGTCAAGGGACAACTTTACCTATAAGGAGCCACTTCCAAAGGAGTCTCAAGCATCATAACATCATTAAGGGCTAAGAAGTTGATTCGTAGTGGCATAAGTGCATTTCTAGCCAGCGTGACCTTAGACAATAGTAACAAACAAATAATCTCCTCGGTACACATCGTCAAGGAGTTCGTAAATGTCTTCCCGGAGGATCTGCCAGGTTTGCCCCGAACTAGGGAAGTCGATTTTGGGATTGATTTAGAACCAGGAACTGTGCCGATCTCCAAGGCATCTTACAGGATGGCACCTGTAGAACTCAGGGAATTGAAGGAACAGTTACATGAGCTATTGGATGAGGGTTTCATCCAACCTAGTGTATCCCCCTGGGAAGCCCCTGTTCTGTTTGTCAAGAAGAAGGACGGGTCCATGCGGTTGTGTATTGATTACAGGGAACTAAACAAGATCACCATAAAGAATAAGTACCCCCTCCCGAGAATTGACGACCTATTTGATTAGCTACAGGGAGCAACAGTCTTCTCCAAAATTGACATAAGGTCGGGGTATCATCAGTTGAGGGTCAGAGAAGGGGATATACCCAAGATAGCCTTCAGAAGTTGTTATGGACATTACGAGTTTCTCGTTAGGTCCTTTGGCCTTACCAATGCACCAACAGTTTTCATGTTACTAATGAACAGGGTGTTTAAGGAACTCTTAGACACTTTTGTCATAGTGTTCATCGACGACATTCTGGTATACTTTAAGTCAAAGGCAGATCATGAAGAACACTTAAGAAAAGTCTTAACAATACTGAGAACCCAACAGCTATATGCCAAGTTCTCCAACTGTGAGTTTTGGTTATCTGAAGTAGCATTTCTGGGTCACGTGGTGTCAAGCAAGGGGATTACAGTGGACCCAGCTAAGGTAGAAGTAGTGATGAGGTGGCCAAAGCCGACCACAGTCACGAAGGTGAGGAGTTTTTTTGGGGCTAGCTGGATATTACAGAAGGTTTGTCCAAGATTTCTCCAAAATTTCGTTAGCACTAACTCAGCTAACCAAGAAGGGCAAGCCTTTTGCTTGGATTCCAGCCTGCGAATATGTAACGCCCGCTCATCGTCAACGCGATTAACAGGAGTTACCATCATCAACGACAACATACTCTAACACCATATCATAATCTCAAAATATTTCTAAAAACATCCAGTAAAACATTTAAAACCAGTGCTATTTAAACTTAAAACAACCGAAGTAAATTCTTGACAGCGAAAGCATAAGTACACAAAACAGACACAGACATGGATTCCCAAATAGTCTCTAACCCGCTAGTATCGTCCTCGTCCTCGGTTGGCCTGTATCAACTAAATCTGGAAAGAAAAGTTAAAAATAATTTTGATGAGTAATTAAATTACCCAGTAAGTAGCCAACTTTATCTTTCATGAATTCTTAACTAATCTTTCCAGGTGTTTTTAAATTTTATTCGTCATTGACTTCTAGTTTCTCTTACTAGAGTCATCTATTCATTAATGAGGTATCTCAGATACCTCCAGCTTAGCATAGCAAATGTTTTTAAGTTTTATTCATCATTGACTCCTAGTTTCTCTTACTAGGGTCATCTATTCATTAATGAGGTATCTCAGCTATCTCTAGTTTAGGTTACTGACTCTCTTTTGATATACTTATCTAGAATTTTCGGACTCGTATGTAAGACTCGCTCTCGGTCAAATACGGCCTGTCTACTAATTGCTCTGGCGGCCTGTTTATCTCATATACCAACGGTCAGGAGTACTCATGCTCCTTGACTTAGCACACAGCGCGTTGGCCAGGAACTCCGCGGGAATTAGTAGACTATCATACTCATATAAATAAGCCATAGCTCAACAACCAATAAGCATATCTCAAAGTCATAACGTACTCACATTTACTGCATGCTTTCATACATGTATCGTGTTCAACTCATAGAACATTCTGGCAATCATTTATATCATGCTTACATCACAGGCAAGCAATCACAAAATACAATAAACAGTCAATATCATCAAAGCTCGTCATAACATACTAAGCTCTTAATCAGGTAAACAACATACTCACATGTTGTAAAACAAGTTAAGAACTAGTTCAAAGATCGATATGCTACTTACCTGGTTTCGAATCCCTTTCTCTCTTGAATGTACATTTAATAAGGTATTTCAACACAATTTCTTCCAATTAGACCTATATTTCACCATTTTCAAGGTAAGTATAGGTCAATCTAGGTAAAACAGGTCAAAACGAATCGAACGGGACAAACTGGGAACCGAAATGATGCTTCACGCGCCCTCACATCCTCGGTGTGTCTGTCCCACGCGCCAGGAGCACGCCCAGTCGTACACCCAGTCACGGCCCCTCACGCGCCTGCGTGTAGTGCACACGCTTCTTCTTCTTCCTTGCGTTTTCTGAAATTTTCCCATCTTTTCTGTTAATACCTACTATATCCCGAAGCCATATCCTCCTTCTACTATTCGAATTTCATCCTGATTCCTTCTACAAATTTATAGATCTCCTTATTACAATTCTAACAAGCCCTATTTCATAACTTATTATACAATATGAACCAAGATATCAAGGTTTATAAGTTCGGTGATATGAGTTTTCGTTACCTTCGAATAAACGCTTTAATCGACTTAAATCTGGAGCTTCAATTGCTAAAAATCATCACACTCATTCCCCCATCCTCACGTTTACACACTACCACAACAATCGCTGAAGAATCCTTCGAATTTCCGAACACATGGGTAAGTTTCTTCTTCTCTGTTTTTGCTTTCTCTCTTCCTCTGTTTTCTTTCTTTTTCTTTCCCCTTTTCTTCAGGCTCCCACAACGGTTTCCACCACACTTCGCCAACTCATGAAAGCTCCAACACCTCCAGCTTATTTCCTTTTCCTCCTTAACCCATCTGTCAATTCCTCCTTTCTCCATGGCAGCAGCTTGAAGCTGCTGCTGTCCCTTTTATTTATTGATTTATTTATTTATTTACAAATTATTATTATTATTATTATTATTATTATTTAAATACAAAAATACATCATATCCAAAAAAAATTTTTGATTATTACATAATAGAGTTTCTAGGAACTCAAGAAGAGGTTGGTAACCGCACCAGTCCTTACAGTTCCAGACGGGTCAGGTAATCTCGTGGTGTACAGTGATGCATCAGGGAAAGGTTTAGGGTGTGTTGATAACTATCTAAAATAGAGTCATAGCAAGTCTTTTTGTAGTTAATATTGCACTCTTATTCACCATTTTCTCATTTATAACCCCATTTATTCTACTTAGTGAGCATGAAATCGTTCATTGCAATCCAACGTGAAAAAAATATGATTTGGCATAAATCAATCTTAATTATATATTTAATTGAGTTATGTGGTAAAATTTCAGACATTTATGTTAAACCATGTGGGAGTAGCAAATTTGGAAACAAATGAGAGATGACATGGAAATGATAAATTCACGTCAGCAGTCCAAGTGGGTCATTGACTACCCAATGAGGAACATCCTATGTGTATTACTTATTTCTTTTCAGCCCTAAAGGGGAACCCATGCTCAATATAAATGGAAAAGAAAGACCAAGAGTAAGACAGCCACACTTTGGGGGAGAAAATCGAATTACACAGCAGCAGCCTCTGTTGCAGTGAACTGCTGTGAAACCAGAGAAGAAGAAAACTCTAATCCAGCAGCTGTTGACAGCAGAAGGAAAAGGAGACCAACAAGGATTGATTAGGGCAAAGAGGTGGACGTGAGAGAGAAGGAAACTTCCATTGACGAACGGCAACAAACCGGGATAACTCTCTATTTCCTTATTCTCTTTCCTTATTTCATCAATTTTACATGATGAAGATGTGGATTCCTCTGTTTAATTCAGTTTGTATGGAGAGCTAAACCTAATAGGGGAGGCGAAAGAGTTTTATATAGTTTAAGTATGTTGACGGTATGATTTTAGTTTATTAAAGAGTTGTTGTCAATAATTTACATGTATGTTTAATTAGCTACTTTACATACATAGTTGTTCTCTTATTCGGGAGAAGAGAGGGAGCAATGAAATCCTCTTTAATACTCTAGTTCCATAGCAAGGAGACTTGAAGGGTAATAGAAGGGTTAGGAATAATTCTTCTTCTAGAGCCTTGTTAATAGAAATTACAACGATTATAGAAATAATCACCATTCATGACTCTCAAAAGTGGGCTTAAGAATCTATTAAAAGGAACTAAAATCTACCACAAAACTCAACAACTTATCTATTTAATCTCTCTTAGCCGAACCTTCCTCATTATAGTTGATTTTCTCCTCATTTTCTGTTTTCTTTTTACAGCAGTGGTACTCTGTTTTAGTTTCATTTAAATAGTTAAAATCTCCAACACCCATTTGAATGTTACCCAAAAACTCACTTAATTTCCAGCGATAAAATTAACCAAAAAGATAGGTTCCCTGTGGAATTGATAATTTACTTATTACTTGCTACTTGTGATAGTGTATACTTGCATTTATTCTTGTGAATTTTACATCATTTTATTATATACATCCACAAGCGATCATGTGTGCTCATGCAGAAGGGTAAGGTGATAGCGTATGCTTCTCGACAACTGAAGAAATATAAACGAAACTACCCCACGCATGACCTCGAGTTAGTAGCGGTAGTATTTGCTCAAAAAACGTGGCATATTACCTATATGGGGCAAAAGTACAAGTCTTCACCGATCATAAGAGACTTAAGTACTTGTTCAAGCAGAAGGAGCTCAATATGAAACAAAGGCGATGGTTGGAACTGGTAAAGGATTATGACATAGAGATCTTGTACCATCCAGGCAAAGCCAACATTGTAGCTGATGCATTGAGTA